GCTGGTCCCTCAAACACTTGACCCTCGTGGATCCACCCCCCTCGGCCTCCAAAGTTCTGGTACAGAGTGTGAGCCACCGCATCCAAGCCTATACTCTGCTTTCTTTAAATATTTCCTGAGTTTAAAAAGTACCAGAAGAGAAAAGGAGATTCATTTTGCCTGTCTTAACTCCCTTCTCACTTTAGCAACAAATCCATGTGTCTTAATGAAAAGGTAGTTGAAAATTGGAAATGGGTACCCGAGACTTGCTAGATCTGCAATGTATGGCATGGGGTCCCTTTTCAGTTGGGGTGACGGGGACCAGGGTTTTAAAATTGTTGCTGGAAGTTATCGGGTGGACCATATTGTCAGCAGTCCAGGAGGAATTTCAGAACCATTTATTATGTGAATGATGAGATATTATTTTAAGAATGGCTAGTCAAGTGAAGCAGTGGGAGTGAAGAAGAGAACAAAGGAATCTGTAACTGGTTGTGACCAACTAAGTTGTAACACCACTGCCACTGAACAGCGATTTGCACAACCTTTTTTTTTTTTGAGATGGAGTCTCACTCTGTTGCCTAGGCTGGAGTGCAGTGGTGCAATCTCGCTCACTGCAGCCTCTGTCTCCTGGGTTCAAGCGATTCTCCTGCCTCAGCCTCCCAAGTAGCTGGGATTACAGGCGTGTGCCACCACGCTAATTTTTGTATTTTTAGTAGAGAAGGGGTTTCACCATGTGCCAGGCTCGTCTCGAACTCCTGACCCACAGGTGATTGACCTGCCTCAGCCTCCCAAACTGCTGGGATTACAGCGTGAGCCACCCGCCGCCCAGCCTCAGAACAGTTTTAACAGTGTAGGCAACTTTTGTTTTCTGGGCTGCTGTTTTCTAATAAACTCCCGACTACTGCCATGGAAAAACATATTGCTTGACCATCAGATTTTTCAAAGATACCAGAAATCTGAATTTTTGTAGCAATCTCCCAGCTTTTAAATGCTAGCAACAAATTAAATGTTTCTGGAACACTGTTGAACAAAATGAGCCTGTCATTAGCCAGTCTCCAACCCCTGAGTTGTAATTTCAGTAGTCTAGAGATGATTCCCTTATCTCTTAGAACTGTTGAGGGAGGCACAACTAATTCTTGTTATAGAAATTATGTGTCCTTTAGTCAGGTGCAGTGGCTCATGCCTGTAATTCCTGCACTTGGGAGCCTGAAGCAGGTGGATCACCTGAGGTCAGGAGTTCGAGACCAGCCTGGCCAACATGGTGAAACCCTGTCTCTACTGAAAATACAAAAAATTCAAAATTAGCCGGCCGTGGTGGCCTGTAATCCCAGTTCCTCGGGAGGCTGAGGCAGGAGAATTACTTGAACCTGGGAGGCAGAGGTTACAGTGAGTCGAGATTGTGCCACTGCACTTCAGCCCGGGCAACAGAGTAAGACTCCAGCATAAATAAAATAAAATAAATAATAAAATAAAATAGAATAAAAAATAAAATATAAAATAAAATAAAAGTGACCTTTTGGGATGCATGAAGAAGAAAATCTATTGGGATCCAAGAAAATTCCATAAAAGTCTCATCAATTCAATCTTAGTAACGCAATTATGATAAAATCATTTTTAATTAAGTCAAATGAGAAAATTGCTAATTGCCTGGTTAGATTCTCCAGCCATTCACCGGAACAGTCTAAAAACAGAAGGCATAGGAGCATGGGTTTTCTGTAAACACACACCATTAGAAAGGCTTCCAGGTAAACTGGGCCACGGAGAAATGTGCAGAAATAACTGAATTTTGCATCTCTGAGCTCACATTTTGCCGAGGTTATAGAATCATAAACTTTACTGGGGGAATAAGGCTTAAAGATGGCCTTTTCTTTTTTTA